CTTGAAAGACATATGGATTATGATTTGTATTGTATAATTGGTCTTTATGAGAGGTGGTCTGTAACACCCCCTCCAACCGGGTACCCTCTAAGTATTCCATTAGGACGGAAAATTAGAGAATTCACACTGAAAGGTTGTGTATTTTAAAACGTAAATCCTGGTTACAACATGTACTATTAAAATAAATAAATAAAACCTTCTTCTCATTTATATTACTTTCTTAATCAACCTATCAAGACATGACTATATACGAAAAATTGGTTTAAAGAAAACAACAACATCAATTGTTTTATTAGCGGAAGCAAATATAAAATATCTCCCATCATTTATAAGCAAAACATATTTACTATTGTCATAAAACTTAGATTATAACATTAAACTATATACATTAAATTCAAAAGCACACATCCTTTAATAACATCATAAGTTTAGTTAGAAACAAAAACAGCATGCCCAAGCGTCTTGACCGCCACTCGCCGTTACCGCTTTAACCATTACCTACAAACCGTGGAAACTAGGGAATTGAGTGCTAATCACTCAGTAAGGGTATCAATCATTTACCCTATGTAACATTCTAAACTTAGAAGCATCTTATTTACTTGTACATGAAACCAAACATTAATAACATAAAAGTAATTATAACTAGCATATTCAATCCATATCATAAGGCATAATATAATTCTGCAATGCTTTCCTTTAATGTTCATGAATAATGCACAATCAATTCATGCATGTAAAATACATTTTTCTTTAAAAACCTTTTACTGTCTACGATCGGACTAAGCTGAGGCATGGATCGGAACCTTTGGCTAATGAGCTAACCTTAACTTATAACACAGTCCCCATGGTCATGCACGCTAGGATGTTCATTTCTTTTGGTCAGACATGTGCATGAGTGAGCTCAGGTTCCCTAACATGCCAACATCTTCCATAAAATTTACAAATCATTTTCCTTCACAAAAATACACTCTATGTACCTTGGAAGCATTTTGCTCAAACTTGGGATCAAGTCCCCCTTTTTCATCATTAATATGCTTGGCATGCTCTCATTTCTTAAAAAAAAACTACACTTTTCATATATGAAATATCATTTCACATGACCATTTTGTGGATGCATAAAAAATTCATAGAACATATCATACTTAGGCTTGTTTATACAACACAAGCTCATAATTAGGTGATACATAACATATTACACATAACCTCCATGTCATTCATTACATCACCTATAAATGCTCATACAATCATTAAATAATCATAAGATCACTCATTCAAACATACTTCAAAACCCTTAAACATCATTTCCATACTTGGAATCAATCCAGATTATTAGGCTAAAAATAAATTAAGACTTAGAAGCACTTTTGAGATAGTCATTTTGCACAGGTCAGATTCGAAGGCATAACTTGAGTTATACACATTGGATTGGTATGATCTTGGTATCGTTTTAAGCTTAGAGACAGGGATACAACTTTTATGTTTAAGTTCTCAACCCAGTTCAATCGGTAAGATGCCCAAAAATCACTCAGAAGGTCCACGGCTGTGACAGGGCAACATGGTAACATGCCTATTTAGGGCTTTTCCTTACCTATTTTACCTCCACTTACTCTCTAACCTTTCCTAACCATTCTCCCCTGTGAAAACATGTTAAATGATCAATAATAACCTTCTTGTAATATTTAAAAAAAAACTCATGTCACAACTACTCCATTGATTGTCATCAAACTCAATGTTTTTATAATTCACATATAATCCATCAATATAGCATCAAACCAAGCTCCATTGCCTATTGGTGTACAAGAATTAAGGTTTCCCTATACTAAACCTAGAAATCGGCTAATGTTCTTTATTTCCCTATTAAAGGGAGGTTTCCCTTACCTTATGTCAAGAAACCACACTCCTTTGCAAATTTCCTCCTCCTTATCTCCAATTGACCCTTTTCCTCCTAATATCCTTAGTAAAGGAAGAAATATAAGACACTTGAGAGATTGCAACTAAGAGACTTGAAATTTTAATGGAGTAGTGAAGAAAATTATGGAAGATTGTAGAAAACTTGAAGAAGGTAAAGAAAAGTGGTAGAAGGCATATGTTGGCCGACCCATACCATCTAATATCTTCTTTTCTTTTCTTTTCTTTTTTCTTTTGTTTTTGCTAAAGAATTATTCATGTGACATTTGTCTTTTGCATTTAATGTCCTATAACATTATTTCCCTTTTTTGCCCTTAACAATTGTCTTTTAATTACTCCTTAATCCTTCATCATCTTTATCTTGTCAAGCCAACAAAAATATCATCATTCTTTTACCACTTTACCCCTAAGGCATATGCATGGTAGTTAACTTAGCACATAAAAAGGAAAAGACTATTTTACCCTTGGACGTATTGGTGGGGTTTACAGGGTCGGTGAGGAAAGACTAAATTAAACCTATTTTATTCGTTATATACACAACTCAATTGAGAGAAAAAGTTAATAAAAGCTTCTTATTTCAACCCTCATTATTCTGCTATTCTCCTTCAGTCCCTGCTAGTTTATTTTATTGCAATTACACCACTAAGATTATCATAAATCTCAAATAAACAAATACATATAGGTAGATCCCATTGATTTTAGCAACTATTTAGTAAAATTATTCTGTTTTTTCTATTAATATTCTTTCATAAGATCAATACTATGAGATAAAGACAAAAATACTTATATATGAATAAATTACATTGCCGTTTAAGATAAAAAAAAAAAAAAGAAAATCCAAAGATAAGACTTGGGCTAAAATTATAAATTTTTATTTCAGTCATGGGTAAAAGAGTGATACTATTTGTGCTCCACATCTTATCATATTAATTAAACCCCACATCTTAAAAAAAAAAAATCCCATTGAAAATTTTAGATTTATCCAAATATTTTAATAAACCCCATATATATTTTCGAAGTTACCCTTCTTGTCGATAATTTAACTATTTATCTCATATTTTATCAAACCTTTATTTCAATAAATCTTGTTTTGAGATTAAATCACTAATAAGAGAACCATCTATCTTTGAAAATTATTATAATTAATTTGATTATAAAATAGAATATTGTTGAATTTATCTTTTATTTACAATTAAATATTTTTTTTATTCAAGATTGTATGTAATTTTGGAGAAGTTTAACATAAATATTGAGGTTTGAAAAACAATTTAAGTATCTTTGCATCAATTAATAATACTCTTTTTTTACCAATAAAAAAAAAAGGAAAACAAGTTGAGGTAGGCACTGAAAAATATTAATCTAAAATAAGGTTTTATGATTTGGAATGGAAATTAGGGATTTTCTCATAATTAATTGCATATGTCGATTTTACTTATTACTTTTAATTTGTCTAAATTAGTCAATTTATAAGAGGACAAAACTGGGAAAAAAATGATAAAAGGGGTGTAATTAGACAAAAGGTGAGAGCCCAACAGCATCACTGGGTAAAAATAGAAAATGGATATATTAGGGATAAAATAGTAAATTAACCGAAGTGAGAACTATGGAACTGAAACAAACTGGAGCCTTTTCAAGTTCAATAATATTTTACTTACAACTGAATCATACAACTAGTCATATAAATAGACAAAAATTACACAAAATTTATGTAAAATAATTACTCTGTCCTTTATTTTTTGTTTGTTTGTATGACTTATTTATACAACTTCGTTGTAAGCATAGCATTGCTCTTTCAAGTTAGAATTAGGAAACCACCAAATTTATAAAATAGTTGAAATAAACTCAACCTCCTCCTCTAAGTAGAATTATACTGCACACTGCTGACAGTTTCTTTATCTTTTCTCGTTTGTATTCTCGTGCTTATTTTCTTTTTCGTTCTCCATTTTATTCAAATTCATCTTTAATGAAGGTCATGGAGATCAGACTCATGTGGAGAAATAATTTTCATCAAGAGATTTCTTCTTTGGATCGTGCATTACATCATTGTAATGTGATTTATCGATACTGAGTTCCCTGGCTTTCTTCGCAGCACGCAAGAGATATACTTATGATGTCTATTGATTAGGGATGGCGTTGACTTGCACAACGAGGACCCGCCCCGCTTGGGGGGGGGTTCCCGAAATTTTCGAGTAACAAGGCAAGGACGAATAGGGAAAAATCCCTCGCCCCAAGGATCGGGTGATGATGGGGATGTAGTTTGCCTCGACGTGGACTCGCCCCTTGGAGCCCAGCCAGTCTACATCAAATTTATTAAAAACTTTTTTTTTTTATCTTTAATAGATTTTGTATGAAATTAGAATCTCATGATTTAAGATTTTAAGTCATGTATCAAATTATCAAAATTTATGATTGTTATCAGAAATATATTATTGCATATTTTAATTATGGAATAAAAATAAATTAAAGGCATAGAGTGTAATTTCACAAAAGCGATAAATTAATTCTTCCATGATGAAGATGAAGTATTGAAGTAAATGAATTTAAGACTGAATCAATGAAAATGTTAAGATTCGGCCGTCAAATAATAAAATCGATATATGAAAAATGTTAATTCACCAAATAAATTATGTTAAGATTGAATACAGTTTTATTATATGAAAATGTTAAATGTTTTTCTTAATTCTCTACAATATTTAATTAAATTTTTTTATATTGTATTAAACATCAAAATACAACTAGGATTTTTTAATTTCGAATTGTATCTTCGTTTGAAAATAACATTATTTTATTTTAATTTAATGGTTTACAAATTACAAAGACTTGATGTGTGTATTACGATATTGAATTGTTGATGTATCTCTAATTATATTAATAATTTCTTATTATTTGATTTTGATTTATACCCTCTTACCAATTTTTTCTTAAATTTCAAAAAAGTATTAATCATATTGTTATATTAAGTTTTTTTTACTATGTTCAATGGTTTATCACAAAAGAATTATACAAAATCAATATAAAAAAAGTTTGAAGTAATCCCTCGTCCGGGGAAAATTTCTCGTAGGGATTACCCCTGTTTGGGGAAAATTCCCCGCATGGGATTATTACTTGCAAATCCCCAACGGGCGCAAGGCAGGGATGGGGATTCCTCGACATCCCCGTCCCGAGGACCCCATCCCCCGGCCCCAACCCACCCAACACCCATCTCTAATTATGATGATCTCAAATACAACTTGGACAACTCCAACATCATTCAATTTGGCATCACTTTATCAAATGAAGAGGGCATTGTGGGTGGTACTTGGGAATTCAATTTCTCAGATTTTGATTTGGAGAAAGACACTTACGCAAAGCCATCCATTCGTTTAGTTAAGAAACATGGACTTGATTTTGACAAAATAAAGAAGGATGGAATTCCCATGAACATATTTGTGTCTAGATTTTTTGAGGTTGACCCAAGCATGACCACCATCTCTTCAAATGGGTTACTTTTCATGGATGGTATGACTACGCTTATGTGCTTAAATTGTTAACTAATAACCATCCCTTGGATAAAGTTTTTGCAGAGAAGGCTGCTGAGTATTTTCGAAGGGTTTTCGACATTGAAGTTGTAGCAAAACACTGTGAAGGTTTACAGGACGGAGAGTTAGGCTTATCTAAGCTTGCTCATGTTTTCAAAATTAAATGGATAGGTGAATCTCACAGCGCCAGTTCAGATAGTTTACTGATCGCGACTGCATATGCGAGAATGATGGAGTGCTACAAGTTTGAAGAAGAAATTTTTTATGGATTTCTTTGTGGAATAACCACAAGAAACAAGTGAAGACCTATAAAGATTATCGTCCCACGTTTTTGCCAATCAGTAGTTCTTCAACGACCAGCAATCGTTCACTATTCTAGCCATTTGATCATCATCCAGTTGGTTTCTTTGTCCCTGTGCAATTTGATCATAGTTTTTATCAATGTTTTCATAACCAACCCGGTCAGCAACCCAATCAGGTGACCGGTTTCCAAGTTGATTGGTTGAACTGATCCGATCGACAGTCAGTCAGACCGATGACATCACCATGACTTCCAAAACTTATTAGCGAATGATGTTTTAAATTACAATAATGTTACGGACACTGAAGACCTACACCGAAATTTTGCACCAAATGACGTGTCAATTGAGTAGACGCAACCATGTAACATGTTAACAAATATTTCGCAAATGAACGATCGTCCATCAAATATTGACAAATGTCTGTGATTATCGAACAGCCATTCATTTTAAATAGATGAGCGTCCATTTACCATGGACGAGCGTCCACCTAAAACGAACACCCGTCCATTGTTTAAAATAAAAAATTTTAAAAACAAAAATCATGACGTCCGTCCATATATTATGGACAGACGTCCCTATTAGATGGACGTCTGTCCATTATTTAAATTAAAATAAAAATTTAAAAACAAAAGTAACGGACGAGCATCCCCTCTTAGATGGACGCTCGTCCATTTCCGTATTATTCCTTCAAAAGTGTTGTTCCAAAAGAATTTTCTATATTACTTTTCTTCTGTATCCCTACAGAAAAGAACAAAAAGATGGCAAGGATAACTCATCTATAAAAATCACCAAACCACCCACTGATGATATAGCTTCGGCGCCAAAGACAATCTGCTGCAGACACCTTCTCCCCATTGATAAAAGGGCCCTTCAAGAGGAGGAAAATAGTTAGTGAAGGTCGTAGGGGCTACAGACCTAGGATGAGAAAAGTGCATGCATGTTGTTAATTAATTAAATCTAGTATAATCTTCTTGACACGCTTGACAACTTTTCAAAAATGGTGGATGATAAGGGTTGAACTATGGTTAAACATATTATTTCCAAACTACACTTTTTTCAGAGTAAATAAAAATTGTGAAGCAGTAAAGAGAGATTAAGATAGAGAAATGGACGGCTGGTCCATTGTGTATGGACAGCTTTCCATATAAAATGGACCGCTGTCCATATAAAATGGATGGTGACGACCGTCCATTATTGTGTTTCAAAATTTTATGGGCGAGCGTCCATATAAAGTGGACGCACATCCATAGTTATTTCGGTATAAGAATTCGTTCAAATTAATAGACGATCGTCCATTTATAATGCACGACCGTCGATAAAATATGGACAGACGTCCCTAATTAATAGGGCACCCGCCCATTAAGTAGGGATGCCCATCCGTATACGTCCATTTTCATTTTCACATGGACGGGAGTCTATTTCAAATGAACGGCCGTCCATATTTAATGGACGGCCGTTCATTCACAAAATATTTCTTAACATGCTACGTGACTCGTCTGACTCGGATGACACATTGTTCGGTTTAACATTTCGGTGCAAAGCGTCATGTCCGTAGTATTACTGTTTAAATTATTTAATAAAAGTTCATTGATGAAAACCAAATTCATTCTACCACCAACCGTCTGTAATCATCACCCCATCAAAATCATCTCATTATTTTTTTGGTTAACTCGCTAATAAGAAAGAATAAAAGAATTTTACAAACAAAAGGAGCAGAGCCCTTCAGAAACCAAGATCCTGAGAAAAAACTTCAGGGAAGGCAGCCAAAAAAAACAAAACCAGAAGAGCTACAAAGCCTTTGCACCAAGCAGACCAGACAACAATTAGCCTAAAGGGCACCACCAAAAGCGCCAGAAGCAGCTACACAGTCCAGGTTGAAATCCCCAGACCAAGAACAAAAATTAGAAAAAAAAAAAAAAACAACAACCCACGCAACCACAGAAAAACCTGTGGGACTGTCCATAAACAACCAGCGAAGCTCAAGAGCATTGGACAACATAGAACCAGCAGAGAAGCAGCAAAAATGAACCTGCAGCCAACAGGATACTAGAAACATACCAGTACACCCAGTAGAGCATAACCAAAACTCCATCTCCTCCATCTACTAAAATCAATCATAAACCCACGATGGAAAACACAAAAAGGCATTGGAGAGCCAAGAGGCGTGGAGAAACACAAAAAATAAAATAAAATTTTACGGGCTACCAGCGCTTTTTGTTGTGGTTGTGAAGATGAAGAGACGATTTACTGCAATGCCAAGCAGGGCCAATCGACGACGTTAAATACTGTGCCAGGCCACGCGAATCTGGTAGCTAGACTCCAGTTTGAAATGAAACGCAAACGGTTTTGAACTGAGATGAAGTGAAGATGGAAAGAAACGCAAACCTCGACGGCCAACGATGGACGGATTTGATTGTGGAAGAAGAACTGTGGTCGATCGAAAAAGAAAACCGAAGAAACCAAAGATCGAAGTTTGACTCTGGAAGAATTGTGGCCGATCAAAGAAAAGATAAAGTTACATCGTGGAAGATCGAAGAACTCAAGAAGCGATGTCGATAGGAATCGGAATTGATAAAATTAAAAGAGTCAGGGATTTAGTAAAATACAAATGTAATGATTTAGTTTTGACCCAAAACTGGTTGGACCGATGGTTTACTACCGTAATTCCGATCCAATCGCAGGTCAAAACAGGTGAGGGTGCGTTTGGCTTATTGTTTTTATCCATATTCTCAATCCTGTTCTTCAAATATTGTTTGGCACATTATTCCCAAAATATTAATCTATTTTTTTAATTACTTTTAGACCTCAAATGTTTATTAATTTCATTAGATACCCCCCAGAAAAAAGTTTAAAAACTAACAAAAACACCCCCACCCACAATACTTGCCAGATTCCAACAACCACCGCCGGTGGTTACTGAAATCTGTCACAATAGTCATCTAACCACCGAAAATAGCCGATAAAGGCCAGATCTGGCCGTCAGCGACGACCATTTCTTTGGCCGTCGTTGATAGACAACGACGACGAAAGATTTGGTCGTCGCTGACGGCGAAAGATTTGGCTGTCGCTAACGGCCAAAGATGGCCTTTTCCGACCATCGAAGGCCACAACCGACCTTAGATCTTGCCTTTTCCAGCCAAATCCACTGGTCTGTGTCATAACGCAATTTTCCGATCAGATTCCGACGGTGATAGCCGAAATNCCTCAACATTTAACTAGTTAATGGGTTCTCTTCAATGATATTTAACCTCCAGATTCAATTAATATAATTATCTTAACTTATAATTGACCTTAAAAATTCTCATAGTTTAACGACTATTTTGACATAAGAAATTTAAATATGGAGGGCTAAACTAAATGTGTAGTGTCTATGACATTTAAATGACTTAATGACGTTTATCTCTTCTCCAAAACCAGAACCCAGTTGCCTCTTTTTATTTTATTTTCTAAAAAGCTAAGTCAGCAACACCAAAATAGTTGATAAAACAATTATAACACAAAAAACCATTACAATGTGATGAGTTATGATCACTTTCTGTAATAAAACCCACTTATCCAGACCTCCCTTTACTCTTTCTCTCTTCTCTTTCAAGGTAATCAACTATTTTCATATTCATTTTTACTTATCTTTGCTTTGTTTAATTGTTAGTTCTTTGAATCAACTGATTTCTTGATCTGGGTTCTGTTTTGTTTGATTAGTTTGTGCTCTCTATGTGAATTAATGAGTGAAAGACTTATGTTTATGTTTACTAATTTCTGCTATAAATCTATGTTCTTTAGCAAACTTTACAAATGGCTCGTTCTGCACTAGATGAAGTTTCAGATTCCTGCTTCAACATTTCGTAACTCTATTTCAAGAGACCCCGTTCCCAGTTTCCTGCTGAATCCGGGAGGTATCATTTGTATATTTCATATGCTCGTCCTTGGGCCTGTAGGTGCCTTGCATTCTTAAAGATTTAAGGACTTGAGAAAGCCATTACTTTCACGGTTTGGTGTTACGTATTTAACAAGTTTTTTTATTAGTAAAACTCTATGTTATGATCATGTAAAGATTGTTTGTTGATTTATTTTGGCAGTCGGTTAAACCCATATGGGAGAAAACAAAGGAAGGTGATGAACATAGAGGATGGGCTTTTCCGGCTACGAATTCGGAGGAACCAGGGGCTGAACCTGACCCTTTGAATGGAGCCAAAAGTATAAGAGATCTGTATGAGCTTGCAAGTACAAACAACTCCGGGAGGTTCACGGTTCCTGTATGCTGACTGTTTCCTTCTTTTGGTTTTTGTTTTCTATGCTTGAATTGTTCAAGTTGTGTGAATGATTTTGTTTTATAATAGGTTCTATGGGATAAGAAGATGAAGACAATTGTTAATAATGAGAGTTCGGAGATAATTCGCATGTTTAATACTGAATTCAATGATATAGCGGAAAACCCTGCTCTGGATTTTTATCCTGCTGACCTGCGAGATCAAATTGATGAGACTAATGAATGGATATATAATGGGATAAACAATGGTGTTTACAAATGTGGGTTTGCAACGAAGCAAGAGCCCTATGACGAAGTAAGGAATTTTCATCCTACTGTAGTATTCAGGTCTTAAAACCATTTTATTATTGATATCCTTATCATTTGCTATGCGGTCTAAGAAATCTTCATTGATCTGTTCTGCAGGCTGTGAAACAATTGTATGATGCCCTGGACAAATGTGGAGAGATACTTGACAAGCAGTGATACATATGTGGAAACAGGTTGACTGAAGCAGATATTCGGTTATTTGTCACCCTTATAAGCTTTGATGAGGTATACATATTAGATTTCAGCATGTAATGTACAAATTCTCACTTTTCTCGTCTGTTTTACCTTTTCACCGCATGATTGTTTTTAGATAGCTTAGAGGTATGTTATTAGCTTTGAACCCTGGCTAGCATTAACGGAGATATATTCTAACGGTTGTAGAATCTAAGGGTCCATTTGGTTTATTATTTCATATCTTATTCCC